TACCCCACTGAAGGGGGGGGTCCCAGGGGCACGTGTGACACCCTGAAAGTGGACTCCCAGATGTTGGTGGCTTTGTTCAGCTCCTGCCATTCTCTAACTAGAATTAGAGTCGAAACAGACCATAGCAATGCCAGGGAGTCCAACCAGCAGGGGCCCCTCCCTTTAAAAAATGTAACCGGTCCAGGTAACCAGCACCTCTAGTAGCAGCTTCCTGTGTAGGGAGGGACACATACACACACACACACTTCCCTAAGCAAGCAAGCTCCACTGCACGAGCAAGGAGTATAATTTGCTGAATGGTGCAACCTGGAGGGAGGACAGGAGGCATTACACTCAGAGAACTGAGGCAGGCAACTGGCCTGTGACTGCAGCCAGCAGCTGAAGGAACAGTCCTTTCTGTTTCCAGACAGAGAAGAGACATTGTTTTTTGCCTCTCTCTTCTTTGCAGTTCCTATCCAAGAGGCTTCCCGACCTCAGTCCCCAGCTTCCTCAGAGTCCCAGGTCCTTCTGGTGCCGCTGCCCACAGGCAGGCAGGTCTGGGCCCAGGAGGGCAGCTCCCCCCACGTGGAATCCTTCCCTGGTGGCTCCCAAATCTGGCGGTTTTTCTGCCCGCCTCTCCCTCTGGGGAAGACTCTGCCGGGAGAGGCTGAAAAAAATCTGGGCGCCCGCTCTCGCTCGCTTGTCAAGAAGCAAACTGTCTTCACATTCTCCAAGAGCAACATCCCTGCCTGGTAGGAAGAGGGAAAGAAGAGGCAAAAATAAATAAAACCAGTTAATGTTGTAGTTAACTTGCAAATCAAGTAAATCTGTTGGTGCCGTATTTGAGAAATAAACCATCAGAGCGTCACAGCAAACACACACACACTTCTGAACGTCTTCATTTTGATTTAATGGTATATCAGCGTCAACTATCGCTTCCTCTGCTGGTACACACGGCCTGATGCCGAGGGAGGAGGATGCCCATGTTTATCACCGAGTGCGATGACTAATTACACCTTGTCAATCACCGGCTATGAAGACATAAAACCGGCGCGGCACAATGAAGGAGTTGCCTGCAGCGTCAATTAGTTGGCGATTCGGGGGTGATGGCGTGGCCCTGCTCCGGCCTCCGCCTCTCCTAACGGGACGGAGCTCCGGGAGCGGCGCGCTGATCAATCACCCTCCAGCCGCGGCCCCGGCCCCCCGCCCCCCTCCCCGGCCCCCCTCCCCTCCCCTCCCCTCCTCCCCTCCCGGCCTGGCCTCACTTTCTCCGGGCAGCATGTGCTTCCTCCCTCTGCGGCCCCGGCTCGGTGGCGCCGGCGGCCCCGGGAGCCCCGGGAAGTCGGTGCGCGCGGCGGCCCCGCAGCCGGCAGCCGGGAGCCCGCAGCCTTCGGGGAGCGCCGGGGCTGGTGGCCCCTTTGTTGGGCGAGGCGTGCAGGGAGCGCTTTTGTTCTGAGTTCGTCACGGTGGCCGGCTGGAGGCTGCTCCCTCATTATGCACCGGGTCTGCTCGTCGGCGGGGAAGCAGATGGTGGGGAGGTGGGCAGCGGCGAGGGGAGCCAGAACCTGAATTCTCGTCACCTGTCACCTCCCGCCAAAGCCAGGTTCCAGCGACTTCGGGGCTCTTTTCCCCACGTCTGGGGGGGAAGAGAGGGTGGGGAGGAGGAGCGTCGAGGGGCGGCTGTTTCCGGCACCTCGCAAGGATCTAGTTTACCTGCTGCTCCCCCCTCCCCGCGCCCCCCTAATCGCTGCCGTCCCCACGGCTGCGGCTCCTCGCACCGGGTAAATGTCACTCACGTGTCAGGACGTGTGCTCACAGCCTGTTCCTCCCCTTGTGGGGTGTCTGCGGACAGGGCTTGGTGGTGGTGCCACGTACCCCGGCTGCCAGGGGGGGGGGGGGAGAAGATGAGCCAAGGTACCGGCCTCGGAACCCTGGACCGGGCACTCGGATCCCTCCCCGTGGCGGCGAGAGAGGACCAGGGCGCGCCCCAGCCTGGCATCCAGAGGGGAGCGGGCAGGGGCACCGGGTGCGAATCGTGACTGCAACCGGTCAGCGCTGGGTGTGGGCTGCTGGTCAGAGAGGTGGCGACAAAATCCTGTACTTACACGTCCGTCCTTCAGGGGTGGAGGGGGTGGGGGGTGTTTCCAGGTTTCTTGGGATAGTCCTTGGCAAGTTTCCGAGTCCCCCTCCTCTACCCCTGCCCCGTCCCCTGCCCCGTCCCCCCACATACACACCCCAGCTCCTGAGGCGGCCCCTGAGCTCTCCGAAAACATACCGCATCCAGCCAGCCAGGGCTCTTCTCACCAAGGACAAACGCTCCAGCGCTGTGACCGTTTTTTCTACCCCTTGGGAGACTTCCAGATGAACCCTGGTGACTCCCACATGGGATGTTCATTCCCAACTTTCTTTGAAAGAAAGTGCCCCAGATGCCTCGGGAGAGCATGCCTGTGTAGGAGTCCGTGCCCAGGTGCAGGCCGTGCGCAGGAGCCAAAGCACAAGACTGTGTGAACACAGGCGTGCGCACACACACACACATGCTTGTTGTTGGGTTTAGGGTCTTGCCCTCACGTGGGGGCATCTGTACTTGTCACTTCAAGAATTTTTGCAAATATGCAAAACATGGCCTCCTAGAAAGTACATAGGGGGTTCAGGTAGAATCACCTGGGCATGCAATTGTACGGAAACGTGAACTTGAACTAGGACCACTGTTCAGATGCCTGCCTCTGCCTGGCCGTGGACACTTACACTCGGTGTGCACGTGTAGATCCTAGCTTCCCCTTCCCGCTGGCCTTGGTTTTTTTTTTTTTTTTTTTTTTTTTTTTGCCAATGAAGAGGAACACATAAATTTGCACACGTGAACATGAGTACACGTGCTTAGGCATTACAAGCACTCATCTCCTTATGTCTAAAAGTTAACGTATGCTATGTGGGAAGTATGATCTTGTGCTGCCTCAACTTTGTGCCTGTATGTAAGAAAAACTGCACGGAGCACGGGTCCCCACCAGCCCCTTTCCTCATCCTGGCAAGTAGGTCCCTTCAGACCAACCCACCTCCAAAGCAGACCCAGGAGGTGGGACTCTGTCATTGACTTGTTCCTTCGGCTTTTCTCTATCATCCCTTTTTACTTTCTAAATCCAACTTCACCGCAAACCTGGGTATGGCCCCTGAGTCCCCGAAGGAGCCTATGTTGAGCCTGAAGTCTGGGGGCTGGTGAGATTACCCTCACCGGGAAGGACAGGCTGTTGGTCTTTGGAGAAGTGGTGCAGCCAAGCAGCTGGAGGGGCGCAGGTTAGCAGCTGAGTCTGTGGCATGATGCCCCCAGTAGCTAGATAATGGGTCTGTGGTCTTTAAGAACCTTGTGGATGCCTAACCTATCTCAGAGTGGGAAAGTTTTTAATAGATGAGGAGGGGGAAGGGGGAGCAATGAAAGCATTTGCTTAGAGCCTGCTACGTTCCAGGCATTTTTACAATCAGGATCTCTTTTGTTCATCACACCATGGGAAGGGGATGTCTCCCATGGGAAAGATCAGACCAGCTAAGGTGAGTCGAGTCATCTGCCTAAGGTTAAGTGTGTGCATACATTGCAGGGCTTGGATTCAAACCCATGCCTTTCTTAGTTCCTAAAGTTGGGGGGGGAGAGAGTGGGAAGAGCGAAAGGAAATCGGCCCCAGTTCACTAGGCGTGAGGAGAGCTGGTTGGCCCTCCTCCCTGGGGTCTCTCGCCTCTCCCATCGGATCGGCTGGGTCCTCAGGAGGCCAGCGCAGCCACGGGCAGTCCGCACGGCGCGGAGGCTGACCTCAAGGCCCAACTGGGCGGGAAGCAGCCCAAGGCTCTGGGCGCTCCATCCCAGGCCTGCCTTCCCAGCTCCCCAGGCGGCGGCTCCGCTCGGAGGGAAGGCTGGAGTGAGACCTCTGCAAGCATCCTCTAGATGTGCCTTCTCGAGATAGAGACGGCAGGGAGAGAGGGTTTAATTTTCCTTCCCCAAGAAATCGCAGGAAACTGTTCCTAGCTTAAAAACTCCAACAGCCTTCTCCCACCCCACCCCTGCTCTACCTCCGCCCTCCCTCCCTCCCACTCCTCCCCTCCAGCCTCGCCCACCAGCTCCCACCATCTCATCTCGTGGCTGTTTTCCTCCCGCCGCTTCTCCCCTCCCTCCCGGGTCTCCCGCCTTCGCGGAGCACGCGCTGCCACGGCCGGGGTGCGGGGCGGCCAATGGCGCGGCGGCAGGACGTGATGTCAGGCGCGGCCGTAGAAAAGGCGCGGACGCCGGGCTGGCGCGGACTGCAGAGCCGGGCTGGGCTCCGCGCTCCTGGAGAGCTTTGCGCGCGGCTGGGCCTGTGGCCGGCGACTCCTCCTCCCACTCTGCTCCTCCTCCTTTTTCTCCTCCTCCTCTACCTCCTCCCGCCCCCCCCCCTTCTCCTCCACCTCCTCCTCCTCTTCCTCCTCCTCTTCAATCCTCCGGGTAGCTCGTCTCGGCTCGCTGGCTTCGGAGAAACCCCTACTTGAGTCGCCCACCCGGCGTCTGAGCGGGTCGGTCGCCTTGGGCTGGGGACGCACCCCGGGGAGTGGAGAGGTCCCGGCAGCCGGGTCGCCGCGAGCACCTAGCCGCTCCCGGTGAGACCCAACCGCAGCCGCCGCCGCCGCCTCGGGCAGACTTTGCGCTCCTGCTCTGCGCCGGGGGCGCCGGAGCCCGGTCGGCGATGCCCGCGGCGTGAAAGCGCCCGCGGCGGGCGCCGACCTCTGCCCCGTCTCCCTCCTCCTTCCCCCCAGCCCCTCGCCCTCGTGACCCCGGCTTTGGCGCCGCCGCCCAGGCGCCCCGCGATGTAGCGGCCCCTGCCCCTCGGCGGGAGGCGTCCTGGCCCTCGGGCGCCCGGCCTGGGGGCGCAGCCGAGCTCGGGCGGGGCCGGGGCCGTGGCGGCGATGCGCCGGGCCCGTTAGCGCCAGGAGCGCCAGGCAGCTGCGGCGGGGGGCCAGCCCTCCCGCGGAGGAGCCGCGCCCCCGGCCCCGCCGGCCCCGCCGCGATGCTGTTCCACAGCTTGTCGGGCCCCGAGGTGCACGGGGTCATCGACGAGATGGACCGCAGGGCCAAGAGCGAGGCTCCCGCCATCAGCTCCGCCATCGACCGCGGCGACACGGAGACGGTAGGCGCGCGGCTGCGGATCGGGCCGAAAGCTGGGACGGGGCCTTGTGAGTCCGCGCCTCCGCTCCCCTAAGTTTGGGGGCACTTTGGGGAGCTTCCTTCGTGCCGCGCGGGACCGGGCGCTGGGGATCGGCGGATGGGATACCAGGCCTGTAGCTAGCTCCCCGCTCGGGGGAAACCAGGCTGCTGGGGAGGAGAGGTGGGACACGATGGAGACTGAAATTTTAGACCGGAAGAGAATAGTTCTCCCGAAGTAAGAGCAAAGTCCTGCCCGCGGCCCGAGATGGCTCTCTTCTCCCCTGGCGGGGCCCTCTGGTCACCAGCCCCGAGCTCTCCTCCACCACTTGGCCCCGGCTGCTGGCGGCTGCTGGCGCCGCCGAGAAGGGCAAAGCAACCGGGAACACTGGGGCTCCAGCCGGCGGCGTGGCGGCGGCGTGGGCCCATCCGGCTTCTTGGCAATCCGGCTTCCTCTCTCCCCAGCGCAATTTCGGGGAGTGAAGTGTCCGCTTTCTGTTGATCTTGACCTGGGCTTTCCGATCCATTGGACTTGGCCAGGCCGGGACTCGTAATTCAGGCTCCCAGGCCTGGCTCTGCAGAAGCCGAGTCCGTTCGAATCTCCACACCTGCCCCAAATAGTCAGTTTCTCGCCTCTGTCCTCCTTGGGGGCCAGAGGAGCACATGCTGCCCAAGTCCGGGCCCAGAAGTGACCTTTAGAGGCAGAGGAGGTGGGAACACAGGAAGTTTCTCTGCACAGAAAGCAAGAGCAGCAGTGCCGGTGCCTCTCTTCCCAACAAGCTCTTCTTTCCCGGGTTAAGCCGCCTCAGCCTGTCAGTTTGGTTTGCCCACAGTTTGGATTGGGCCTGTGCACTCCCCCCTCCCGCCCCCCATCATCTCTCAGGATCCTGGGACTTGTGACCTGCCCTAACCTAAACCTTTGGCTTAAGGATCCAGTGATCACTGGTGCTGGCCGCCAGGAACTCTCTGTGTCTCTGGAGAGGAGTTTGTGTGTAGGGTGACTTGTAATGGTCATCTTACCCCTTTCCCTGGGGCCCAGCCGAGTGGCTTCTATAAGGAACAGTTTTGGAGGGAGCTTCTGGAGGGCTTGACTGGCATAGCCAACCACTGCCTCAGCCCCCAAACATAGCCCGAGACTCTCTGGAAAAAGGGCGGAAGGTACAGAAAAGGGGTGAAGTGGGGGAGATCTATCCAGGTCAGCAACCAGGCCAGTGGCCTCCTTGAGCTGTGTAGGTGGACTTGGGTTCTGAACCTTCTGGATATGGGCATTTTGGGGTGGAGGAAGCGCTCTGCACACCCTTGGCATTTTTCTTGGTGTTTAGGGTTAGCCGGTTACGGTGTGAACATTGGGTGCTGGTTTCCCCTCAGCTGACCCGGGTGCTGCGGTCTCCCACTTCCCTCCCTCCGCAGACCATGCCGTCCATCAGCAGTGACCGAGCTGCGCTGTGTGCCGGCTGTGGGGGCAAGATCTCCGACCGCTACTACCTGCTGGCGGTGGACAAACAGTGGCACATGCGCTGCCTCAAGTGCTGCGAGTGCAAGCTCAACCTGGAGTCAGAGCTCACCTGTTTCAGCAAGGATGGGAGCATCTACTGCAAGGAAGACTACTACAGGTAGCCCCCCACCTCGGGCCCCACTGCCCCAGAATCCCCCATCTCTGATGAGGTCTTGTCTCTTTTTCCCTCCTGTCCCCAGGGAGGGTTCTCTTCTCCAAGCCAGCATGCAGAATTGGGGGATAGCCTTTACACACAGTCATTTGGGGAACACTCTTGGAAATCTCTGTGAAGTGTAGGGATCCAGAGAAAAGCAGAAGCTGTCCTCTTCTGAGTTTAGAACACAGTTAAGCTTGGGTTCAGGGGTCCTTGCACCCCTCTCCCTTGGAAGTTTCTTGGGTCAACCAGCGGGAACAGAAACTAGCACATACTACACACCCATCCCAACCCAGGTGGCCTGGGCTGGCATGGAACAAAGTTGGGGAGAGAGCTGGGGGATTGGATGGGGGCATTTCCAGATCTTTCTGGGAGATGGGAGTCCAGGATTAAAGAGCCCTAATCATCACTAACAGGTACCAGGTTTCTTGTTTTTTCCTATCTGGGTTTAGGGTTAGAGTCTGTTTATATATTCCCCTCCTCTTTCTCTCCTTGTCTCTGTGTTTTTTGTTTTTGTTTTACAAATTACCGAGATCCGTAGGCGCTGGTGTGGAGGGCAGGGTTAGAGTTGGAGGCAGGGTAAGCGGGGAATTTCTCCCCCGACACCCAAGCAAGGGCTTCCGTAGGGCTTGCTCCGGCTTTGGGTTAAGTAGAAGCCTTTGTAGGCTTGAAGGCGATTAAGGGGCACTGCATTCCAGGGTAGCATCAGACCTTGGCTACAATGTATTCCCCCTTCCCTCACCCTTCCAACTGAAGACCCAGGCTGCCCATCTCGAGGAGGGGATTTTCCCCATTGGCAGCAGCGGCACCTGGAGGAGGAATATGGGGGTACCCAACCGCCTGTCGCCACAGCCCTTCCTTCCCCTGATGGTCCCCACAGGCGGTTCTCGGTGCAGCGCTGCGCCCGCTGCCACCTGGGCATCTCGGCCTCGGAGATGGTGATGCGGGCCCGGGACTTGGTTTACCACCTCAACTGCTTCACGTGCACCACGTGTAACAAGATGCTGACCACGGGCGACCACTTCGGCATGAAGGACAGCCTGGTTTACTGCCGCTTGCACTTTGAGGCGCTGCTGCAGGGCGAGTACCCCGCGCACTTCAACCACGCCGACGTGGCGGCTGCAGCCGCTGCGGCCGCGGCGGCCAAGAGCGCGGGGCTGGGCGCCGCTGGGGCCAACCCGCTGGGGCTTCCCTACTACAACGGCGTGGGCACCGTGCAGAAGGGGCGGCCGAGGAAGCGCAAGAGCCCGGGCCCGGGCGCGGACCTGGCTGCCTACAACGCCGGTGAGTGCCCGGCGCGCGGAGCGTGTGTTCCAGTCTGTTTGGGATAAAGTGCGTGGCGGCGTCCATCGCTCCTCTCCGCCCCAATGAATCCCGGTGGTGTGCTGTGTACACGTATATAGGCAGCACTCGGAGCACGCTGCCCCTTAGCTTCCCAGGCCAGAGCACCCACCCTACGATCTGGCTGGCGGGACTTTAGCCTCGTATGCATGCCCCTGGCTAAAGCAGGACCAGAGAGGGCTTTAGGGTCTTGCTGCCCCTGGTACAGACATTTTTTTAGAGGCAACTTTTTGGGTTGGGCCTTCCCCTCACCCTGCTGGGCAGTAAGTAAGCACGAGGATAGAGAAAGCAAGGTGGAGCCCACACCAAACTGACTCTGGGTCTGCGTGGCTGCGGGAGGGAGCTGGGGCGTTGAACGAACCGGGCAGCGCAGCCAGGGACCACAGAGGAAAGGCTGGCAGTGGTCTGGGGAACAACGGAGATCCGATGGCCCTGCAGCCTGTCCCGTAAAAACGCCCTGCGGGCGGCAGGCCCGGGAAACGGGCCCTCGGAGCCCTGGGAGCCAGGGCGGGTGGTGGTCATCCGCCGAAGCCTCTGCTCAGCCAGGTCTCGGTTTTCCCCGGTCTCCTGCCTCCGAGTTCCGGGCGCCAGCGGGGCGCTGGGTTAAGAGCCTGGACCCTCAGAAGCCGGCGCCTGGGGAGGAGACCCGGGTAGGCCTGGCGGTGCTTGGGGGGGGGGGTAGGGTGAGGCTTGTCGTTTCGCATTTCCGGCGTCTTTGAACCCCCGCGCCATGAGGGCGAGGCTCAGCCCTCTCCCCGCACCCTTCCCCGGTTAGGACGGCCGCGGAGGGAGGTTCTGGGGCGCAGCAAACGGAACCGCCAACATCTGCCCAAAGTCTGCCCGAGGCCCGGGAAGGTTTACGACTCCCCGGGCTTCCTAACGAGACAGAGTTTACTTGCCGTTATTTTCTTTCTTTTCGTTTGCGACAGAATCGGATTTGGAGACTTTGTTTCCGTCCTCCTTTTCCCCTTAGTCTGTTGCACCAGTGGAAACAAAACAAAGCAAAACAAGGACCCTGCGGCCCGCAGAGGGCAGGGGTGGGGAAGGCGCCAGGGTTATTTCGATCTTAAAACGTCTTGAGCTGGCTGGGGAGGAAAACAAGGGGCGGGCGGGCTTCCCCTGTTCGCTCCAACGAAATTGGTTGTTGGAAGGTCCCGGGGTGTGTGTGTGTGTGTGTGTGTGTGTGTGTGTCCGTCCGTGTGTCTGTGCTGAGCTGGAGGCAAGCGCAGCCCCTAGCCTGGTAGATGGCGAAGGGACCACGGGAGGCCCGCCGCCGGATTATAGATGTGTGGAAGGCCCTGCCAGAAATCCTTCTCCCCAAAACTTCCACCCCTCATCTCCAGCCACCCTGAAAACAGACTAACTCGAGTCCCCCAAACAAAGCCGCGCCTATTTAGCCAGCGAGGCCGGCCTCTGCAGACGCCTCCGGGCCATGGGGCGCTGGGAGGGTAGGTAGAGGCATCGCGTTTTCCCCAGGACGCAGCAGGTTCAGAACGGGCTTTGGATTCGAAAGGTAGAGGTTCAGAGATTTGTGTGTGTCTGCGCGTGCTTTTTGCTATCCAGCCCCCTTTCCCGCTGAGGCTGCCACAGCGAGCAGGAGAGGGGTGGCTGGAGACTGAGTTTTAGGAGAGCTGGCACCTCCACAAGACATTCCCCACCCCTGCCATTTCTTTTTCTCCTTGGCTCCTCTCTCGTTTTTTTTGTTTTTTGTTTTTTTTTTCCTTCAGTCTCTCGGTCCTCCTCCTCCTCCTCCTCTCTCTATGTCTCTCTGAGCGTGTGTCTCCCCGTCCTCAATTTCCCTCCCCGCTCTCCCCGTGTGCCGGCCCTGGCCTGGCGAGGCCGGGCTCCCCGGGGCTGGCGCGCGGGCGCCTCTCCAGCTGCCGTGGGGCTCGCTCATTCGGGGCTCCCGGGCCCAGGCTGGGGAAGAGGGCGCCTCCAGGGCCGCACCGCCCCGCCAGGCCTGCCAGGTTTGGCTGTTGATTTCCTCCTTCCCTCCTGGGCACACGCGGGAGGCACACGGCAGTGGTGGGGGAGGAGGGAGCCCCGAAAGGGGCGCAGCAGAGGTGCCACTGCGGGCGGTGTGTGTACCTGGGGCCAGTGTCGGTGTCTGAGTGTGTCCGACCGTGAGGACGTGAGCGCGTTCGTGTGAGTGCCCGGCACCCAGCCACACCGCCCCCTGCAAAGCCCGCGGCTCCGGGGGGACAGGGAGCTGGGGAGCCGCAGCCCCGGGTTCACGCGCGGCGAGCGGCGGCCGAGGGGGAGGGGGCGCCGTCGGTGCGCGGGGCCCGCGGCCCCGGGAAGGGCGGCTGCAGCCGTGGGGCCGCAGGTAGGCAAGTCCTTCCGGGGCGGCGGTGGCCACGGCGGCCCTTCTCGGGCTGCCCCTCCGGCCGAGAGCGCGGCCCCGGCCCGGGAGGTGGAACTGAAACCTCCCCGAGTCCCCAGCGGGCCGCGGGCGGGCGGCCGAGACGGGCGAGGTGGCCGCCGCCGCCGGCGAGGGGCCCGGGCCGCGCACTGGGCGCCGGACTTGGGGCGCCACGGCCGCGGGGTCCCGCGTGGATCTGCCGGACGCCGGGCCTCCCCGAGTCGGGCTGTGTGTGTGTGTGTGTGTGTGTGTGTGTGTGTGTGAGTGAGTGATTGTGTGTGTGTGTGTGTGTGTGCGTGTGTGTGTGTGTGTGTGTGTGTGTGATGTGTGTGTGTGCGCGCGCGCGCGCTCGCGGGCCTGGCGGCGTAATTACTGATTTGATTCCAATCCATTATTTAGACAATTGAACCTACAATCTCGTCTTTAGTAAAATGAGGCGAAGTCAGATTTGATTACAGGTTCAGCACCGGCGACAAGAGCTCGAAACCCGATGGGTTAATAACAGATCACGAGTAAATTATTCATGATTTTACGAGCTCTTTAGCTCCCATTGAATCGGCCTAATTGAGAGGAAAGAAAAAATAAAAAAGGAGAGAGAAAGCCAGGTCTTCCCCTCCCCTCGGCCCCTTGCTCCTCCCCATCCGATCCTCGGGAATCTGGACTCGCCCCGGGCACTGGAGGTAGAGGGGGTGGGGTGGGGAGCGAGGGGGTCTGGGGCACCCGCCCAATCTGGGCTCCGCTGCCCCTTCCCCCGCGGCCTGGTTTCCCCAGCGCAGACCTGCGCCCCCGCTGCCAGCCGCCGGCCTCTCTGCCTTGGCGGCTCCCAGTCCCCTTCCCTCCTTTTCCCTTTGCGCGCTCCCAGCCAGTACCAGCTTCCCAACAGGCCTCCTTGGACCCGGTTTCAGTTCAGTCGCCTGGGACCCTCCACCACGCATTCCCCCCCTATGCCTGGCCCTCACTGTCCCCTCAGGCTCTCTCTGTCTCTCTCCTAATTTCCTCCTGTCTTTGTAGCTGTCTCTCTCTGGTTCTCCACGTCGCCACTGCTTTCCTCTCTCTCCTCTTTCTTTCCTGGCTCTGTCCATCTTTCCCTTCCTACCCCCTCTCCTTTTTCTCTCTCTCTCCATTCTCTCAGTCTTTCTACCCCAATCTCTTTCTCTCCTTTCTCTGCCCTTTATCCCTTCCCAACCCCCCCCCCCAACCCCCCACACACACCCTGATGTAGGCCACTCTCAGGCCACATCCCTTGGGTGCATGGGGCGCCAGGGTCCCCACGGAACTCATTAACAGCAGCGAGGCCCAGGCAGGAGCTGGGCGGAGGGATAGGCTCAGAGATCCCCTGTGGGAAGGCCTGCCCTCCCCCCAACCCCAGGAGCTAGGGACTGGGGGCAAGAGGAGGGTCGCTGGTCCCCAAGAGGGGGCAGGGCAGTTTCCATGGATCCGGTTTGGAGTCATTTTCTGATCCCCTTTAAGCTTTTGGCCTCGTGTTCTTCACTCTGGGCACTGTAAGTGGGAGAACAGCCCGGATGGGGGATCTGGGTGCCTGTGGGAAGGGACCCCTGAGGTTAGGAACAGGACCCGAATTTTGCAAATTCTCTCTGCAAGAGGCTGCTCTCCCTTGGGCAGAGGGAGGCGTAGGCCTCCAGGAGAACCGGAATTCGTCTGAGGTAGTGTCCTCAGACACAAGGCAAGGGCGCCGGTTAAATTTGAATTTGGAGTAAACAACAAATAAATTTTTAGTCTACGTGTATCCCATGTAATATTTGAATTTTTAAGCAAACAACAAATACTTTTTTGGTGTAAGTGTATGTCACGTAGTATTTGGATTTTTAGTATAGATATGTCCCTCGCAATATTGGAGACATGCTTGCACTAAAAAATTGTTCATTGTTTATCTGGAACTCATATTTAACCGGGCACCATGTTCGTTAAATCTGGCAGCTCCATTGTGGGCATGTTACGGGACACAAGATGTATTCCCAGTTGTCCACGTTCAGGGGACTGGATTAATCTGTGAAGCTTCCCCCAAAGTAGGACCTTATGTGTGTAATAACTCCGGATGTGATGAGGGGATCTTGGAGAGGATCCTGCGTGTCTCAATCAGTCGCCAGGTTGCCAAGCAACTTCCCGAGGCTTGAGGTTTCCACCCGGTCCCTTGCCCCCAGTGCCTTCCAGGCATGGGGAGCCAGGCCCCAGCTGGGCCCCTTCTGGATGGGGAAGGGTTCCCCAAAGAGTCATGCGTCATCCCTGACTGCCTTTGTGCTGTAGCGGAAAGAAAAGGCAAGGACTGCAGTGGTGAGTCTGGGCACAGGCGCGACCAGTGGACGGCAGGGCGTCATTTCCCTTCGCATTCGCTTTCTCATCTGTAAAATGGGGTGGATCTCAACAGCCACCCCTGGAACAGTAGTGAAGGTCTATGGTGTTCACAAAGCCAAGGGCATGCCCCAGGTGTCGAATACAAGTTCATTTCTTTCCCCAGCTTCCTTCCTTCCCGGAGAGAACTCTGCCGCTCCGTGAGATTTCCAAAGATCACTTACCTTCCCTGCCTCACTACCCCACTTGTAAAACTGGCAACAACTGCCTCACGGGGCAGCGGTGAGGCTTAAACTGTAAAATACAATATCTGACCTCCAGCCCAGGGCCCGCAGCCCCGGAGTCCACACAGTACTTTTGATAAGAGCCGAATGAAAGCAGGTGGAGAGGTAGCAGGGATTAGCTTCCAGGCGCCGGCCCCAGACACCGTTGGGGGAGCCCGGGGATAATCCCCCCTTAGGAAGACCCTGGGCTCGGAGTCCCTTTGTTGCCCGGTCTTCATCAGGTGATTTTCCCCTCTGAACCTCAGTTTTAATGTCAGTAAAAAAAGGCGAAAAGACTGCCTGGCTCAGAGGGTTTGAGGATTCAATGAAAATGTGTCTGTGAAGCCCTTTAGCACATCTTCTAGAGTTCTGGAGTTGAATATGTCATCAACAGGTTATAATATTATAGTTGTTATTATTCATATTATTATTATTACTATTATTATACTTACTGTAACACAGGGGCTCCAAATGGAGTTTGGATTCTCCTCAAGCTGATTTTGAATCAGCATTTCCTAGCTGAGTGACCTTGGGCAGGTCACTTTCCCCAGCCTCAAATTCCCCTATAAACCCATGAAATGGGGATAAGATCTCGGTCTCAGGCTGGAAACAATTGGTGTTGGGTGGGGCGGGTATGGACTAGGCAGCGTGTGGGAGGAGCGAGTCAGGAGGTTCACCTGCCACCTCTGCGTGCCCTCCTTAGCGCTCAGCTGCAACGAGAACGATGCGGAGCACCTGGACCGGGACCAGCCCTACCCCAGCAGCCAGAAGACAAAGCGCATGCGCACCTCCTTCAAGCACCACCAGCTTCGGACCATGAAGTCTTACTTTGCCATTAACCACAACCCCGACGCCAAGGACTTGAAGCAGCTCGCCCAAAAGACTGGCCTCACCAAGCGGGTCCTCCAGGTCAGCTGGGGCCTGGGGTGGGGGTGGGGGCACCTGCCGCTGCGGAGACCTGGGGCAGAACCAAAGGGGCTGAACCACACAGCGGGCTCCGGGCCTTGGAGAACTTTCTCCCTCAGCCTGCCTTTCTGTTCTGTTTACCTTCCTCCGTTCTCTTTCTCCATCGCTTCAGTGGGTCTTTATTCCTATTTCAATCTTTTTTTTCCTTCTAACTTCACATCTTCTCTCTCCTTCAATGTTTGTCTCTCAATTTTTTCTGTTTTCTTTCTTTTGTGTGTGTGTGTGTGTGTGTGTGTGTGTGTGTCCCCCTCGGTCCTCTTTGTCTCCACACTTAGTCTCTCTTTCTTGTAAACAATTCATATTTGCTATCTATCACTCAGGTGACGCTCATATATGTTTATACTGTAGAGGGTTCAGACATTTCAGATAAATCCAGAGCTCCCCGTCCCCCATCCCAGGAGGCCCATCCAGGGCAACTGCTATTAGCCGTTAATTCCTTCTGCTGCTTGCTCCTCTCTTGCTCGCTCTAGTTTCTCTCTTTCAGTGTCTCTCTAGATTTTCCCTCTGTCTCTTTGTTGTTTGTAAGACTCTCCCAGAAGCAAGGCTTGGTGAGGAAGGTGATGTGGGCAGATGCCCCGGGCAGGCCGGGGGGCCTCTCCTGGGTCTGCCCACGGGGAGCTGGAGGAAGTCCAGGGGCACCTCTGAAACTCTTCAGAATGGCACTTGCCTGTGAGAGTGCTTTCTTTTCTTTTTTATTGAATTTATTGGGGTGACATTGGCTAATTATATGGGTTTCAGGTGTACAATTCAATAATATGAGGGTGTTTTCTTGATAGAGAGGATCCAGAGCCTTTGCCAGACTTTCAAAGGGTCTGTCTGTCCATCATCCCAAAGATGTTAAAAACTCCAGTTTGGAAGTTCCAGGCTCCTGACTCAAGAGTGGTGACACCACTCCTTTTTTAAAAAATATATATTTTATTGATTTTTTTACAGAGAGGAAGAGAGAGGGATAGATAGTTAGAAACATCGACCAGTTATCTTCTGCACACCCCGCACTGGGAGACGTGCTGGCAACCAAGGTACATGCCCTTGACCGGAATCGAACCTGGGTCCCTTCAGTCCGCAAGCCAATGCCCTATCCACTGAGCCAAACCGGTTTCGGCTGACACCACTTCTTAACCCTTCAGCTCCTCCTTTTACTTACTGGGCAAGTCACTGAGATCCCCTGAGCCTCAGTTTCCTCGTGTGTGAAACTGACACAAAAAAATGATCTCCACGGCAGGCTGATTGGAAGAGCTGTTGAGATGATGTCCACCACAGGGGCTGACCCTTAGCTGCCCAGTGGATAGTGGCCAAGAAGAACATTAACTGGGTTAATCAGCCGACATATTAACAGTTCGAAGGATTGTTCTGGTCGCTGGACTTCAATGTCCCCACTCACACACTAAGGTGGGAGAATACCCCCCTTTACAGCAAGCCTAACCGACGTCTTCCTCAGAATGTGCGGTTGTAAAGAGAGCAGTGCACATTTTGGGATATGAAAATTGACAGATGAAGTGATCCTGTCTCTCACAGCAGGGAGGGGGCGGGCAGTGCCAGGATTAGAGTCCAGGCCAATCTGATCCATCCTCTGGCCCCAGGTCTTCGGGGACTGAGGGGTGAGGCAGGGGGAGGCGACGCCGAGGGATTGACGGTGATGGACAAGGAGGGTTGCGCAGCCGCCCTAAGTTTTCCTCTGAATTTGTCAGGAGGGAAAAGGGAAAAATAAAGCCTTTTGGGGATGAGACTGTGTCGTGGGTGAGGATCTGCAGTTTTGGGCGAGCTCAGAGTCTGGGGCAGCTTTGTCTCTGCGGCTTGGAGATGGAGGGAGGTGGCAGCTGGCCAATGGGGTGCTGGTGCGCCTCTCTGGGCCCGCCTGCTGCCACCCCCACCCCTGTGCTTTCCTGGCATGCCTTGCCCTTTCTGTTTGGGTTCGTTTTGCCTGAGAGTCTCTCTGGTCAGGGCTTAAGACGGGACAGGATGTTGCGGACCGCTCCCTTCTGTTCTTCTGTTTCCCTTGGGCTTGACCTTCTTGGGGATAGATCAAGGGACCTTCCTTGTCGCCTCTTCCGGTTTCTCAGGATTTGGACGGGGGTGAGAAGCCTCTGCCTTTTCTCTGGTCAATAGGGTACTTTGATCCTCCCCCTATTTAGATGGCTGTTTTGTGGGGTCACCCCCCCCCCCCCCCCGAGCAGGCTGGGAAAGGAGCAGGGACTTGGAATCAAGAGGAGCTGGGTTCGGGAATACCTGGGTTTGGTTCTGCTCCTCCACGCACTGGCTGTGTGGCTTGGACAAATCTGAGGCGTAGCTTTCTCATCTGTAAAATGGACACCCTTAGAGCACATGCCTCTGTTACCCGGATTATATGAAACAGAGTCAGTGCCCATAGCTGAGTCTGAGGCTGGAACCAGCAGGAACCAGTCTCCTCTGGCCTTGGTGAGGCAGGAGGCTTGGTTCTGTGGTTTAGGAGCAAACTGGACTTTCAGCATGGTTCTCTCGCATTCTCTCATCCGACCGAATGTCTCTCAGCACCAGGCCCTAGGGATACAGAAGCGAAGGAGCCACAGCCCTGCTCCTGAAGACAATCACCCATGAGGTGTAGAGACAGACCCACAGTCAGTTTATCAGAATGTGATTAGTTGTGGGGGTTGTCCTGTGGGAGACCAGGTGAGGGACCCCTATCCTATGTGAGAGGAATGGTTCGCCTGAGGGACCTGAGTTTTAATGCTTGCCCCTCAAATCCTGAGCCAGGCCCCCTCACATCTGCATGCCACCTCTACCACACGGACTCAGAACTAATTGAGGAGAAAAACGCCAATAGGTATTGTGTGTCTCCTAACCAATACCTGTTTATGTGCTCTATTGTGTGTCAGGAACGTGAACAGGCCTGTGAAATACACTTGCCTGTTGACTCCTTACTGTCAGGATTATGATCCCTCCTCCCCCACTGTTCAGATGAGAACATTGAGGTCCAAATGATTTCCACCTGCCCCAAATCATCCAACGGCACAACTGTTCATGATTCGGCAGTCGTTCGAAAAGCATTATCTTTCCCGCCACTCACCTATCTTACCTTAATGTTTTCCTGCCCACTTTATAGATGAGAAGCTTAAGACCTAGCGAGAAGTGACGGGCTTGAGTCTGTAGGAGCCAGGTGTTGGCAGGTGGAACTCTCTCCCAGGTGGTCTGGCTGCTGAGGAGCCAGCCAGTGGAGATGGGATGAGAACAGATTTGGGTGAGGCAGCTGGTGGAGTGGCTTCGGTTCATATCCTTTCTGACTTACCAGCAGTGTTATTTGGGTGCTTGAACTTCTCCTCCCTGAGTCTTATCTGTGAAATGGAGGTGATCATGATTGGCACCTGGAGATTGAGGCAGTGAGGGGAAGGCTCCAGCATGGTGCCTGTGAAATGGTTCCTCAGCACTTAACTACACCAGCTGGATGGTACTAGGTCTTGGGTGCCCCCTGCAGGCTGTGGTGCACCCCAACCCTTCAGAGAGTGCATGGCAGGGACAGGCTGAGGTTGAAGCTGTGTTCCCAAAGGTGGTGTGTGTGTGTGTGTGTGTGTGTGTGTGTGTGTGTGTGTGTTTCCAGCCAATTATTGCATTTGTAATGCATAAGCATCACCAACATGGTAGTCCTGGGATGCACACACTCTGCAGAAATTTGTGGAGTCAGCTGATGTGAGGTCTAGACTCAGCTCTCCATTTACTCTGAGTGATTCTGAGCAAGTGACTTAACCTCTCTGGCCTCAGCTATAAAATGGAGCACTAGTAGTACTTCAATAGGTGGTTACAAGGAGTAAATGAGATAAAGTGTAATTTATAGGATGTATATTAGGGACTCAAATGCACATAATTTCATATACATTGGCATATCAGGTTTCAGTCTACCAACCTCTTTTGAATAAATTTTATTTATTTTTAAAATATATATTTTATTGATTTTTTACAGAGAGGAATGGCGAGAGATAGAGAGCTAGAAATATTAATGAGAGAGAAACATCGATCAGCTGCCCCACTGGGGATGTGGGGCATAACACGCAACCAACATAACATGCCATTGACCAGAATCGAACCTGGGACCCCTCAGTCCACAGGCCAGTGCTCCATCCACTGAGCCAAACTGGTTTCGGCTTTTGCGTAAATTAAATAAATAATTATCTTCATTTTGCAGATGAGGAAGTGAAGTTCAGAGAGGCTAGGCCTCCCAGCTAGTAAGTGGAGCCAGGGTCTGACTCCATAGCTCTTCCCACTGTAGCACAGCGCACGGGTTGTGATTCCTACACCTGGCTCTAGCTCAGAATGCAGCAGCAGGCTAGATGAGGGAGAGGGAAGAGAAAGACACCACGTCTTGGTAAGAAAGCAGGGATCCTGTGCATAAAAAGGAAGCCATAAGGGCATAAAAATCGCTCAAGTTTGTGATCTTTAGCAGCATGACAACAATAATACTGGCTTTCCTTCAGTGGACAAGGTGATTGGGAGACAGAAGGGCCCCTTGAACAGAGGTCCATTAAGAAATTAAGCTCTGCAAACGCGTGGAGACCATTCCTCAGCTCATTGATAGCTCTCTGAGGGAGGGCCACACGGGCTGAATGATAAGATGTCCTGAGCTTGGGGAGGGATGGTGAGCGGATTGATTTGGATGGGTGAAGGTCTCCTTAGGTGTTCCTTTGAAAGAAAATATGTTTTCACCATGCACGGCTGGCCGTTTAAAAACATCCTTGGGATGAGGCGTTAGTCATCATTAATCTGTGTGAGAACTCAAGGTGAGAACGCTCGCTCTCCTCTGTTCACTTGCTTATTCAACAAACACACTGGCCTTCTGCCATGTTCCGGGTAGGCGGGAGGCCCCAGGAGTCAGCAGTGACCCAGAGAGTGGGCGCACACTGCAGAGGACAGACAGGAGTGCAACAAGGTATAGAAATCATTAAGATGCCGATAAGATTAATCTTTATATTTTTCTCTACATGTGGTATATCTAATAATGAAAAAAAATTTTTTTAATGATTTTGGGGACCAAATAAGTTTGGAAAATACTAAAGGTTAACTGTGCCTCTGTGTTGGAGATCAGAGCCCATTAGCATTCATACAGGCACTGAGAAATCTTAGAGAAATCCAACTTGGTCTAATCCAACATTTTCCAAATTTATATGGCCACAGAACCCTTGTTTAACTCTTTTTAAAAATATTTATTGATTTTTGACAGAGAGGAAGGGAGAGGGATAGGGAATTAGAAACATCAATGAGAGAGAAACATCCATCAGCTGCCTCCTGCACACATCCTCCTGGGGATGCGCCCACAACCAAGGTACATGCCTTGACTGGAATCGAACCTGGGACCCTTCAGTCCACAGGCCAACACTCTATCCACTGAGCCAAACTGGTTAGGACACTTGTTTGACTCTTGACTGAAATGAAATAGAAGTTCTTGGACGGAAAAACACAGGGTTGCAATGAGAGCGTATAATGCAGGGAACTGACTTGGTAAAGGAGGTGGCCTGGAATGGCCTCCCTAAGGAGGTGGGGTTTAAACTAGGGCCAGTCTGTTCGTTTCTTCGCCTCAGCTTCCCCACCTGTCAAATGAGGGGAGTGAGCATTGTTTTGTTTATCATTTGCACAGGGCTAAGGGGAGTGTCCAGTCTAGTCACAGATGGTAGAACAAGCTGGATAGAGTTTCATAGGTGACTTGGCTTGAAACTCTCATTTTAGAGCGAGGAAAGCAAAGCTCAGAGAGGTAGAGTGATTCCTCCAAGACCCCACAGCAAAGATCTTGTTGTCCTGGCTAGAACCAAGGGTTCATGATATTCTGCCTACTGATTATTATTTTTCTTAAAGCCTTTTAAAATTTTTTATAAAATAATAGAACCACCATATGGATAGATTAGAAAAATAGGAGAAAATTACCCATACAAGAACATGGAAAATCGGTGATCAGGTTTGCAGCTTAGAGGTGAAGTAGTGGCTAAGGGCATGAGCCCAGCCTGCCCCAGTTCACATCTCAGCTCCACCTCTTTGGTTGGGCTCTGCCTCAGTTTCCTCATCTGGCAATAATATTAGTACCTACTTTAAAAGGCATTATTATTATGAGTTAATTTGTGCAAAATGCTTAGAACTTTGCTTAGACAATGCCTGACACTTAGTGACTCATATTCATCATCATTATTTTTGTTATGAAGTTTCGATACATAATTTTTTAATTCTTCTTTCCTCACATAACATTTGTCATAAGACTTTTCCTCTTTGGGTGGAGTGGCTGTGTCATGACTTCCGCTTGCCCCATCTGGTGGGGCACTCAAGATGCAGCCATTCGTTTGATGCTATTAAAAAAAAAAAAAATGACACAGTGGCCATCTTTGGGTGTGAAGCTTTTTCCTTTTTTTCTGGTTTTCTCAGAGACCCAGGGGGGAATTCTTGGGGCAAAGTAGGTTTCTTATTGGCCCTCCTGTCTCACTGAGGAAAGAGTCCTGGGAAAGGGATTTGTGAGGCCAAACATAGCCTGCAGGGACAGCTGGTGCCTGAGGAGGGGCACAGAGCAGGGTGGGCTTCCTGGGATGCCCCGTGCACCAGACTAGGCATTGCCCACATGAGGAGACAGAACTGTCGGTTTCAGGAAATAGGTGGCAGAGCAGATCATCTCCTTCCTTGCTGCGGCTGCCCTGGAATCCCAGCCTGTTGGAACCCAAGGGCCCGTAGCAATCATGTGGTCTAACCCTCTTGTTGTCCAGGTGGGGAAACTGAGGTGACCAAAGGTAAGGGACTCACCCAAGGCCACTTGGCTGGTCAGTAGCAGAACCAGAACTAGAAGGTACATCCAGCTCTCTTTCCCCTTCCTTCCTTCCTTCGCTTGCTAACTTACTCAAGAAGAGGAGGTAAGGAGAGCATGGATTTTTTTTATTGCAGAGAGTTCTGAACTCTTGGATTCCAATCTCAGGATGGCCTCTGTGTGACCTTGGGCAAGTGACCTCACCTCTCTGAGCCTCACTGGCTTTCAATCTATAAAATAGAGAATAATGATAGTAGTGTTCCCTACCTGGCTTATCGTGGAGATCACCTGTGACTGTGCATGCTGGAGGCGTGATGCCTGGCACATAGGAAGAGGTCCATCAATGTTGTGTTGTTATTACCATTAACCATTGCATATCACTGATTCTTAAGCTTTGCCATGACGTGGAGATGACTCAGACATGGTCCCTGTCCTAACAGTCACCCAGGAGGGGACGTTTTTTAAATATTTGGGAAGGAATTCTGGTGAAGCTCCACTTAAGGTGACAAGCAACCCCAACACAATCCCCACAGCAGCTCCCTTTCCGCTGGGTTGTTGATTATCACCCAGTGGATTCCCAGTGCCTCAGCTCCAGTACGCCGGCCCAGAAGGCACTCTGGAGGAGGGTGTCATTGTTTACAACCAGTTAGGGGCAGCAGCAGAGACACAGCAAACAGCCCACAGCCAAACAGCCAGTTCCAGCCCTTCCCGGGGCTTGGAGCCCTGGACCCCTGAGCCATTTGCCACCCCCAGGGCGGCTCATTCCGGCTGCTGCTTGGACAGACAGACATACAGGCCAGGACAAATGTCGTGTCTGTGGCAAACGTTGGCACCAGAACTCCATCCTTCCTCAGCTGCCTGCCGCAGACCGGGGAAGTGGCCTCCTCTCTCCGAGGGCCTCTGGGGCTTTCTCCATCAGCCGTTCCGCAGACCAGCCAGGACCTCCCGCCTCTCGGAGAGCATGTAGAGGTGCTTTAGAAGCGCTGGGCTTACGTGCAAGCCTCTGAGAGGCGATGGGCTGGTTCTGGGCGAAAGGCCAGGGGAAATGTGCTTTCTTCCCGGGAAGACCCAGCGCGCTGGGGAGAGCGCTTTGTTTCCTGACTTCACACGGGCCCGTGTCTCCCTCCTTACTCCAGGATTCCGGCGGCTGTGCTTTTAATTGAGCCCAAATTGTATGAGGCCACCAAAAAGGCGGGTGTGAAGCCACAGGCTCCTGTAGCTGGGGTGGTCCCCAGGGGAGGGTGGGGCCGGGCCTCAGCCCTTCCCATCCATCCGAGACACTGGGAAGACAGGCAGATGCAGGCACATCTGGAAATTCGCAACTGGACACCAGAGAATCTACAGAATCCCCCTCCGAGGCCCTGTGTTTTATGGGGAGGCTTCTGGCGGGTGATTTCCTCACGCAAGGGGAAGTGAGGGGGCCCTGCCTTTTGGGCTTCTCTCTTTGGAGACACAGTCCCCCCTCTCCCCCCCAAGCCTATTCCCACCCCCACAATGGCCTGGATTTCCTAGGCCTTTGAGGAGCCCTGGTTACAGCCAGATCTCTGTGCAGTTAGACGGGTGGGCATATTTGGGGTGAGGGGGGGAAAGGGGGGTCGCTGTATAGATGAATTTCTGTGCTGGTCTTCGTGCCTGTGTACAGGCTCCTGTGCAAAAGTGTGTGTGTGTGGATGGGGGGCATGTGTCTGCCACTCAGAAAAAAGTGAAAGTAAACCCGTATTCTGTCCCTTTGGTACCCGCTTCATACCAAGCTCGGTTCCAACTGTGTAGCCCACCCCTCCTCCCTCACCTATGGGCCTGGGGTGAGGCAGGCTGGGGATGGGAGTCTGCGGGTCACAGCCTCGCTCTGCTCTCGGCAGCGGCTCCCCTCTGCCCGCCTTGCCCTGAGACCGGGACCCGGGCTCCAGGGAATCGGCTTCTCCAGCCAGTGGTGGTGGGGAGTAGGTTCGTGTCCCTTTCTTCCTCTTGGTAATTCTTTGTTGGTTGATTCCTGTGTACTTTACTCCATTCTCGTATTTCCCAGACTTAGTGATCCTGAAACATGTTAAAAATTGTGCCAACAAGAACTCGTGGCATCTATTGTGTGCTTAAAAGTGACTGATGGAAAAAAAAAAAAACCCCACAAAGCCTCTATTTTAATTTCTCACCCATTGTGAGAAACCATCAAGATTTAATTTGAACGAATCTTCAGAGCAGCTCTGTCTAAAACACATACAACATGACCACCTATGTAATTTTACATTTAAAAAATTCTAGTCACCACATTAAAAAAGCTAGTAAAATTAACTTCTAAGAATATATTTTGTTGAGCCCAGCAGTTCCAACACATTATCATTTCAACGTGTGGCCAGTATAAAAATTATCATTGAGCTATTTTACTTTTTTTCACAGACTAGGAACCTCTGGGCTAGTCGGATGTCACATGTTCCGTAGCCATAGGTGGCTAGTGGCTACCACATTGGAGAGAGTGGCTCAGCTCTGGAACCTTCTCACAGAAAGGAAAACTCAGGAATAGCCAAATGAGAGGAAAAGATATTTTTATTTTAAAGAACAGACTATGACCAGTCCGACTCTATTTTTCCCGATCGGTGATGAGAGGATCTCTGCTCTGCTCTTGTCTCTTGCCTGGATGCCTTCCCCTAACCAGCCCTTCCCTCTCGCCCCACGCAGGTCTGGTTCCAGAACGCCAGGGCCAAGTTCAGGCGCAACCTCTTACGGCAGGAAAACACGGGCGTGGACAAGTCCGCCGAGGCGGCACTGCAGACGGGGACGCCGTCGGGGCCGGCCTCAGAGCTCTCCAACGCCTCGCTCAGCCCCTCCAGCACCCCCACCACCCTCACAGACTTGACGAGCCCCACCCTGCCGACCGTGACGTCTGTCTTAACTTCTGTGCCTGGCAACCTGGAGGGCCACGAGCCCCACAGCCCCTCACAAACGACTCTTACCAACCTTTTCTAATGACTCGCGCCCCCTGTCCCCCGCCCCCCACACCTCGGCCCCACGATTTCTTTAAAAAAGAAATTATCTTTAGTTGAATTCCAAGTGTATTTTAAAAAATAGAGGCTTTGAGCAACTAACTAACCACATTTTAGGATCTCGCCCGGAAACAGAGGAAGACAATAATTGCGCGTCCGGCTAAAGCGCAGCAGCGGTGTGGACCGAGGAATCTTAACTTGGAAGATCTCTATCTGCAACACAACATTTGTGTCCCTGTACAGTTTTGTGGACTGAGCGAGGAGGAACAACAAGATAATTTAAGTTGGCTAGAGCTTCTGTATTTTCAAAGACTGCCACGTGCCTTAGGAATACCGTTTTATCTCCATACTTCGGACGACGACGACTTGTTCATTTTTCTCTCCCTCTTTTTCTCTCTGTATATTTATGACCAGAGCAAAAATGTAAAAAAAGAAAAAAAAAAAAAAGAAAAAAAAAGTTTGTTACTTTGAATAGTCCTAAAAAAGAAAAAAGGAAAAGAAAAAAAAAAAAAGGAAAAAAAATCAAACCCCCTCCAAACGGTCGCTTTGTTGTTTTAGAATTTTAAGGTGGAAGTCTGTTCGAATATCAGAATTTGTAAAATCTAACCAATAATAAAACCACTTATTGAAACTAGTGGGTGCCGCTGCTGTTTAGTTGGGTGTGAAATTCACATGGCTTAAGAGTCTTATTGAGCCCTGGCCGGTTTGGCTCGGTGGATAGAGTGTCAGCCTGCGGACCGAAGGGTCCCAGGTTCGGTTCCAATCAAGGGCACATGCCCAGGTTGCGGGCTAGATCCCCAGTAGGGGGCGTGCAAGAGGCAGCCAATCAATGATTCACTCTCATTTTTTTTTTAAAATATATTTTATTGGTTTTTCACAGAGAGGAGAAGAGAGGGATAGAGAGCTAGAAACGTTGATGAGAGAGAAACATCAACCAGCTGCCTCTTGCACACCCCCTACTGGGGATGTACCCGCAACCAATGTACATGCCCTTGACCGGAATCAAACCTGGGACCTTTCAGTCCGCAGACCAATGCTCTACCGCTGAGCCAAACCGGTTTTGGCCGCTCTCATTCTTGACATTTCTATCTCTCCTTCTCTGAAAGCAATAAAATATATATTTTTAAAAAGAGTGTTATTGAAGTCTAGAGATAAATTCCAGCTCCTCCCTATTTATGCTATTTATAATACTTTATGGATATTCTTTGTAATATTCATGGGGCTGTTGAGACCCAAAGATGAAGTTGGTACAGTCCCTTCCCTCAAGGACTTTATAGAGTGGAGGCAGAGGGAGACACAAGATCATCTTTTTGTTTTTTTTATTTTACTGGTATTTTACAGAGAGGAAGGGAGAAGGATAGAGAGAAACATTGATGAGAGAGAAACATCAACCAGCTGCCTCCTGCACACCTCCTACTGGGGATGTGTCCACAACCGATGTACATGCCCCTGACCGGAATCAAACCTGGGACCCTTCAGTCCACAGGCCGGCACTCTATCCATTGAGCCAAACCGGTTAGAGTGAGCTCATCTTAACACAGCGTGATATGGGCTGAGTGAAGGATATGTAAACAAAAACTGTCCCTCCCTCCCTCCCTCCCTCCCTCCCTCCCTCCCTCCCTCCCTCCCTCCCTCCCTCCCTCCCTCCCTCCCTCCCTCCCTCCCTCCCTCCCTCCCTCCCTCCCTCCCTCCCTTCCTTCCTTCCTTCCTTCCTTCCTTCCTTCCTTCCTTCCCTTAATATTAAACACCCTGTGCTGGTTACTTACCCTGTAGAGGTCAGAATTATCATGCCTGCCTTTTCTCCTCTTCTCTGGGCTGGTGACAGGCAATGCTGGAGGCTTTTCCCTCCGAGGTGTTCACTCACCACAGGGCAGCTTAAACCTAGTTTATTTCTTTTTGAAAAATATTTTTATTGATTTCAGAGAGGAAGGGAGAGGAAAAGAGAAACATCAATGATGAGAGAGACTCTTTGATTGGCTGCCCCTCCACCCGCACCCCCTCACCCTCCTCCTCGGGATTGATCCTGCAATCTGGGCATGTGTCCTGACTGAGAATTGAACCCTGACCTCCCGGTTCATAGTTCAATGCTCAACCACTGAGCCACACTGGCTGGACGAACCCAGATTTCTTAATGATCGACAGAACATTTAAAAATCTCTCAGGATGCCGAAACCGGTTTGGCTCAGTGGTAGAGCGTTGGTCTGTGGACTGAAGGGTCCCAGGTTCGATTCCGGTCAGGGCATGTACATTGATTGCGGGCACATCCCTGGTGGGTGTGCAGGAGGCAGCTGGTCGGTGTCTCTCATCGACATTTCTAGCTCTCTTATCTCTCTCCCTTCCTCTCTGTAAAAAATCAATAAGATATATTAAAAAAAAAAATTCTCAGTAGGGCAAAAGCAAATGTATTTGGTTCCTCTACTCACATTTCAGTCCAACTCAAAAACCCGGAGAAAATACATACCCCGAGAGGAGGGGGGTGTAGAGGCAGGCAGAAGGAGGTTGCAGTCTCTACCATTGAGCAGTGCGAGTTGAGAGTCATTTCACCATTCTGGGCCTCAGTCTCCCCAGCTGGCAGGTGAAGATAATGACCCTTGCCTGAGTTATAGTGAGGGCAAAGTAAGGTGAGGAAGGCCCAGCAGGAAATCTGGCCTATATCAGGGGCTCAGTATATTCTATTGGATGGTGGGGGGTGTGATAAACGTGGAGGTGGAGAGCAAGAATGTGTGTATCCAGGTCCGGTCTATCATTGATGAACACATCAAGCAGGTGTGGTGCCCATCCAATGGGCATTTTTTTGTTAATGCTCACCTGAGGATATTTTTTCCATTGTTTTTTTCAAAAGAGTAGGAGAGAGAGAGAGAGAGAGAGAGAGAGAGAGAGAGAGAGAGAGAGAGAGAGAGAGAGGGAGAGAGAGAGATGAGAGAGATACATGGATTGGTCACCTTCTGGCATGCACCCAGACTAGGGCCAGGGATGGAACCTGCAACTCAGGTAGGGGCCCTTGACTAGATATCAAACCAATGACACTTCAGGGCGCAGGCCAATGCTCTACCACTGAGCAACACTGGCTGGGGCCACCGGGTATCTTCTACCCCTGATTAATGAGCCCTGCTGCGGAGTACTGTTACCAGCTTGGTTGAATGCCAGCAGCCATCCAGCAAAATGTCCCCTGGGGGCCCAACAATGTGAAAACCAGAGGGACAGCACAGCTGCCTGAGGAAACAGGCAGGAGGGTGTGGCAGGGGAGCAGCCCAGCCCAGGGCAGGGGTCTCTTTCCTGCCTTTCGTCTGCCGTCGTGGTTGGGACAGGGTGGGAGGAGGGAGGAGGAGAGGAACGGACTGAGTGCTTAAAGCCTGGACTGACTCACTTTCTAAAATGTTACACACACACACACACACACACACACACACACACATACACATACACACACAATGCTATTGCTGTTATTGCTCTTTAATACCTGGCAAGTAGTAGGAATTCAATAAACCTTTATGATATTGATGGATAATGTGCATAAAGGGCACATACCTGAAATGAACGGCTTGAATAAAGTTTCCCAAATGAACACACCCATGTGAACCCCACCCAAACCAAGATGTAAGGCAATGCAGTACCCACAGGGCTCCCTAGACCCCCTCCCACAGAGTCCCTCTCAAGTGCCCAGTCTAACTCCTAGCACCGTGGGTGATTGGACCTGGTTTTGATCAATACATTTTTTCCGGAATAAATTCAGAATTGTCCCAGATTAGACAACTCACCTGGGGCCAGGCAGGATTTGAATGAAGCCTTTTTGCCTCCAGACTCCATCCTCAAGCAGAAACTTACATAGCCAATCAGCCAAGTATGGGGTTAAGAGCCTCAACTTTCCCACCCGTCAAATAGGGTGATAGAACCCGCACCTCACTGATGACCGTGTGAGAGAAGGTGAGCAGAGGGGCCTGTGGACAGACACACAGACACACCACGGCTGCAGGTACTCCCAGGGATCCATCTATGAGCCCACAGACACGCACACACATGTACACCGGGAGGCACTCATGGATGATGGGAAGACCCCCAGGCTGAGGTGCTCACACCCAGACAGCCCCACACAGAGACACACACACATGCTCGCAGACAGACGTAAACAGGCCCAGATGCTCACAAATACATCCAGACAGACACCCAGCCCACCCCACCCAGGGAGACCTGCACGGAAACCCAGACGTGCGCACACACACGCAAACATTTGCAGGCACCCAGACGCCCCCGCGTAGCCCGCCTGTGCCCCCTGCTCAGGCCCGGACAGAGCCGGGTCCGATCCCTATCTCCTCTGTCAGCACTGCCACCCAGACGGAGCAAGCCCTGGAATGATGCCCGGGGGTCTCCCGTCGCCCACACAGGAGCCAGCTTAGAAGCAGGGCTTGCTGCCGGGCCAGGGATGGGGGTACTGCGGAGGAGGCATTGCCCTCTGCAGAGCCAGAGACGGAGAGACTCACACAGTGAGGAGCTCAGAAAGCAGCCGCGACAGGGAGGTAGGGAGAGAGGCCGGCAGATTGTGGCAAAGCCTGGGAGACAGGAAAAGAGTGGGAGACAGACACAAAGGGGCCATGGCAAAGCTACACACAGAGGCAGAGACGCGGAGGGCAGAGAGAGACAGTAGTCAGAGTCAGAGACAAGAACAGCCACAGTGAAGAGGCAGAGACGGGGCTAGGGACCAAGATTAAGGGATGGTGTCCAAGACGCCGGAGGAGAGATGATGAGAGAGAGAGAAAGGCAGATTGACATCAGGAAGAGAAGGCCCAGAGGTAAAGGTACACCCTGAGACAGATTCAGGGCTGAGAGAGACCAAGACAGAGAGAAAGGATGGTCACTTGGAGGCTGTAAAGAGAGTCTCTCAGAGGGAGAAGGTGAAACCAAATGACAGACAGAAATGAGAGACCCAGCCTGAGGAAGAGATGGCCAAAGGAAGGCAGGCGCTTGGTGGGGAAAGGGTGCCAGCAC